TTTAGTTATTGAATATCATTTAAATGAAATTGAAATAAATATTAAATGGTCTTCAACAAAAGAATTTAATAAATGGAAAATATCTTATGTTGATAATGAATGTACATTACCATTAAATTCACCATTATTTTATCTTTGTTCATCATCAAAAAATTCATCATTATTAAATTCAACATTTTATTCTTATTGGTTTTTATTAGAAAGTTCATTTTATCGACGTCTTTTTTCTCATATTACAAATGATGAAAATCATTTTATTTTATTAATTTGTTTATCTGATGGTCGAATTATTGCTTTATCAGAATCATCAAATGATTCGAAAGTAATTATTTGGTATAATTCTTCAAGTTCAAATCCAATAACAATTATTGGTCTTTATTATGATTTAAATAGAAATTTACTTGATGCTATTTTATCATCAACAACAACAACAACAATAGATAATAAATTTCCAAAATTAATTTTAAATCATTTAATTTTATGTGAATCTATTGGAAGTATAATTCTATTAAATTCAACAAATTTTCATCGAATACTTATTGATAATCTAATTAAATGTCCATGTATTTATTTAAATAATTTTATATATATAACAAAAAATGAAATTCGATCAATATCAATTTCAAATTTATTAAAACCATCAAATGAAGATCTTATTAATCAAACGAAAATTTTAAGATTTGGACATTTTCAAAAATTAATTGTCGGTAAGATTCGTACAATTTAAAATTTCTACATAGGTGAAAAGAACACACATCTTTCCCTATATACGTGAATATCTTTTCTTTTTTTTTTTTTTTGATTTAATTTTAATTATTTAGATGGACAAGAAATAATTATTTATTATGAAAATGGTCGATTTGAACGATTAAATAATCTTCTTTCAAATTCATTAAATCTATCACATCATAGAAATTCTTTATTAAATCAAACAAAAAAACTTACATGTTTAACAACAACTATAACTAATTTACAATCAAATATTTATTTATTACAAAGAATATTAAATAAAATTGAAATATTTTATCAATTAAATTTAAATAATTGTTTAAAATTAATTAATAATCAATGGAAATTAATTTTAAATGAACAACAATTAAGAATATTTCAATTAAATGATTTTATATTAATATTAATATGTCATTTATCATCAAATAATCTTAAAATTTATCAATTAAATTCAATAAATGATTGGATATTTAAAATAAATGATAAAATTTCAATAACATATATTTGTCAATCAATACTTATTTTTCGATATCAAAATCAATTTCATTTTCAATTAGGTCCAAAAAAAATTATTTTACCATTACAAGAACAAATTCAACAAGATCAAATTTCATTTGAAAATTATTTTATAAATAAATTTAAATCATTGAAAAATAATAATAATTTATTAATTCAACAATATCATTTAGCTTTAACAATTCGAAATGATGCTGCAAAATATTTTCAAAGTAAAAAAGAAGTTATTGTTACGTGAAAGTTTTATGAAGAAAATTATTTACATTCTACTTGTTTTTAGTTTTGACACTATAATTTCATAAATTTACTATTTCCAACTGGAGAAATACAATTAATAGCATCGCTAGATTTACCATCAAATGTTAATATCAAAAGAATTTCATTTGATTTTATAATTTTTGTCTTAGGATGAAAGTCAATAGATGTGAAATTTCAAAAACTATCATAGAGACTTGTTTGAACTTTTCTTTTCCGTCTCATCTCCATAGGTCGTCAATGAGTATCTGATAGTAGTAAAGAAAAACTGTTAGTACAATCCCTGTGGTGTTAAAATGTAAAACACACTGGAGTAGCTGATATTGTAAGAGAGAAAATTTCTCAACATACAGGGTATCCCAAAAGTCATGTTCACTTAAGAAAATTGAATATCTCCATTACGATTCGAGCAAACGTGCTGATTTTTTTATCAGTGGTAGAAGCATGCGCCAAGTTTATATCCATAAAGACATGTCTAGGGAAACCCTTTGTTAAATATCACTATTGACCTCAATAAGAAAGATGTACTTTTTCACAGATAGAAAAAAAAAGCAGTATACTTAACGGAGGATTTCTCTCGGCATGTCTTTATGGATATGAAGCGTGAACATGCCTCTATTATTGGTAAAAAAATCAGCTAGTTTGCTCTAGCCGTAATGGAGATATTCAATTTTTATTTTGGCAAACTGATTTTTGGATCACCCTGTATATAGTCCAAAAATCACGATACCAAGAAAAAATTAAATATCTCCGCTACGGCTCGAGCAAACGAGTCGATTTTTTTACCAATAATAGAAGCATGTTCACATTTTAAATCCATGCGGACAAGATTAGAGAGAGCCGTTATTAAGTACCACTAATGACCTCAACAAAATAATTTTACTTTTTCGTAGATCGAATAGAAAACAATATACTTAACAAAGGATCTCTCTACGCATGTCTTTATGAATATAAAGCTTGAACATGCCTTTATCATTGGTAAAAGAATCAGCTCGTTAGCTCGAGCCGTAGCGGAGATATTCAATTTTTTTCGACAAAATGACTTTTTTTTCTAACTGTGAAAAAGTAAATTTTTCTTGTTGAGGTCAATAGTGATACTTAACAAAGGGTCTCCCTAGACATGTCTTTATGGATATAAACTTGGTGCATGCCTTTATCACTGATAAAAAAATCAGCACGTTTGCTCGAGCCGTAATGGAGATATTCAATTTTCTTAAGTGAACATGACTTTTGGGACACCCGGTATATTTCGGTTTATGAAGATATCATGATCTATATTGAGCCATTGCTAAGGTGTTTACCAAATCCAAATTTTCGACCCTATATTTCAACATTCCTTTTAGTCCGCGATTCACAAAAGACCAGTTTTTGTACAATACAAAATGTAGTCTGGTGACATGTCACGATGTCATAGTAAAATTTTCGTCAACAAAAATACCGGGACAAGAACAAGAAAAAGAATGGTGGATTGATAGCATTCCCAAATAAAATGATGATCCAAGTATATTTTGAATATACTTTGTATTCAATATTATACTTGATGAACATTTTTTTTGTTAAGAAATTATTATTCATTTATTTATTTAAGAGTTGAATATGAATATTACACAACGATTATTAATCGGTCGAATCAATATGATTAATATTGAATGTAAACAACAAGAAATAAAAGTTGATACAGATGAAGGTCTTGTTGATTCATTAACTGTTCAAATAATACTTTCAAGTTCATGTCTTCGTCGATTAATTATTACTTTTTCTACTCTTATGGAGGTAAATTAGAAAAAAAAAATATAATTATTTTCTTTAAAATTTAGTTAGTTGTTTTTTAGTTATTCTATGGGAATAAAATAATTGAAGAAAAAAATTTTATTAAACAAACTGATATACAAAAATTAATCGATCTTATTCAAGTAAATATTTTCTAATGATTTTTATATAAGAGTAAATATCTTTTTCTCTTTTATTTATTTTTTTTTCTATGAAAGGAAACTCAAACAAAATTATCAAATAATTCTAAAGAATTAACAGATGAATTATTACTTAATTTACTTCAAATTCGTATTTATTTATCCATGTTTCGACTTGGTTCTAATTATTCTGTACAAGTTTATTGAAATAAAAAGAAAAAAAAACACTTTTTTTTCAAAAATTTATCTTTGTGTCAAGGTGTTGATATGAGTTTTGTTCTGGAGTATTAGCATGTTTGTGTTAATACTCGTTTGACTGTGGATGGGGTGAAATGTCAGGATTAGGGTGTGTGGTTAATGGTGCGAACATAGGGGTGGGATATAAGAATATTAGAAAGGGTATGTGATTGACAATTTGAGCTTATGTGTGTGAGCATGGAGATTTGAGAATATGAGTTTGAAGAGGAAGGAAATATGGGTAGGAAGGAATGTCAGGATAGGGATATCGCTATTGGAGTTTGATGTGCCTGTGTAGTTGTATACTGGTATGTTCAGCATGGGTCCGGTTGGAATGTGATTGTGGAGGATATCATGCGCGCGTGGGATTAAAATTGTTGTGTATCTTTGCTTCTGGGTCTGAGCTTTTGTGTTGCGGTGAGAGTTGTTCTAGAGTATGACAATAGTGATATCAGGTATGATGCTGATCAAGGTCTTAGTTTGCCGGTTTTATTTATTGTGAGTGTGTATTAAGAGCATGGGAGACAATAATTTGGTGGGTATGGTTTTGTATTTTGGTTTCTTGTGTTTGATTCAGAGTCTTACTTTTGTGTAGCTATGTGTTTTGCTCTAAGGCCTAGGTTCGATGTTAGTTTATGTGTGGAAGACATAGACATATTATGAACGGAATGTCAGTGTATAGTAAGAATGTGACTTGAGATTCGGTCATGTATGCGCCTGGATATTGGCGAGGCTGTAGGAGTACAGAGATTAAACCATGGAGATCTTAGATTGTGAAGTGGAGTTAAAGGTCTGTGTGTGTGCTGAATATGCATATGTGTAAGCCTAAATCGAAGTGCCTAATACGAACGAGTTATATTATTTATACTATAATGATCTGTATAGAACAAATTTTGTAGAATTAATCAGCTTAGAACTTGAAGCCGGCAAAGCTTCGAATTCTCAAACATAAAACAACGCTTTCGGGATGAAAGTTAGTGTTTTGATACATAAAGAGCTTCAGTTTCATATTTTAATTATCGAACACGAATTTAAATAGTTATACCGAGTGTAACAAAAGTTTTACGACATTGTTTGTTTTGTATGTATCTCTGCTCATGAGCATGACAAGAAATTGATTTTCTTTTTAAAAAGATGCACCGTTAAATTTTCCATAAACTTCTGTTTATCTTAATTTAGAATAATAGAACTGAACATTTTTATAGATCGTACAGTGTGATTATATGAACTAGTTCTACTTCTCACACAGGTTTTAGTAATTTATTCTTTTCATGGAAGTGAATATTTAGTTGACAGTTCTTGAAATCCTCTATCGATTATTTATATATAGAAAAATTTTTAAATACTTATCCTTTCGATTAGATGCATGATCATATTTTGAAAATAGCGCGATTTTCATGCTTCGTTACTCCTTTTCTCAAAGAAAGCATTGTAGAAATATCGTTTATGATCAAACCATTTTCTTTGTTGTAGTATTTTGTAGAAAATTGATTCCTCTCTCTATATTGAGTTCAAATAACACGTGAAAAAACAATTCGAGTGGAAGAAGAATTCAAATAGCCTTGAGAAGGCCATTTTAGTTATAGCAGCTCAAAAACGGCATAATTTTTGAACAAATATGGACTGTAATCAAACAACACTTACCAATAATTCTAAAAGAGTATTTGATACACATTCAAATTACAAATAAAAAGGCCCTTACACGCCTGTTTATAACTTGGAAAGATCGTTGCAAAAAAACAAACCGTATGGACAGTAGGCTCAATTGATACAGGCACACTATGAGACCTATAAGAAGGTTAAGTTCTGTTATTTATACAGAGATGCGTGCAAAACAAATCATATTGCAAAACTTTGGTCACACTTGATAGTGACTAGTTTTGAACGATTGGACTTCGTGCATTCATATAATATCATTCACAATACTTTTTTTAAACTTATTATTACTCTCTTAGATAATTACTAAAATTTATCTATAAAAGATTTCATATTTTATTTTCATTTGGCAAAAATTGAAATTTTTTTAGTGAGACGAGAAAGAAACATGGACAACAGTATATTATTTACATTATTCATATGAAATAAATTTCTACCACTAATCCAAAAATCAATTCAGTCGAGCAAATCAAAACAGCAATATTTCATTTTGTTTATTGTAGTAACTGTTTCATGACCCATATTTTAGGAAAATAATATTTGATTTCAGTAGAATACGATGAAGCAGCATTCAGATTTTACTGTTTAAAAGATGTTAGCAGAAAAATTATTTATTAGACTAGTTAATTATATTCTTTTTTTTTTTTTGAAAATAAATTATGAATCAAAATCAATAACAAGTGTTGCTTGTGCATATCTATCACGACTATTACCAATCCAAAAATTAATAATACCTGGTATTTGTTGTCGATTTGAATTTGGAATATTTCTAATACGAAATGTAAATGAAATAGATTTTTGTTCATTTTTTTCAAATGTTATTTTAGTAAATTGTAATAATTCACGTATTGGTAATTCAATTACTGTTGAATTTAAAAATTCATAATATAATTGTATAACATATTGTGCACGAAATGGACCTTCATTTATAATACTTATATTTGTTATAATATCAGTATCAAGATTATTTATTTTATTAGGAAAAATTATCAATTTTGAAATAAATGTAAATTTTGAATAAGATAAACCATAACCAAATGGAAATAATGGTGGTGCTTGATTATAATTTAAATAACGATATGTTCTACCTGGTGATTTATTCATTGAATAATCATCTATTGGTAACATTTGACTTGTATTCATTGGTATTGTAAATGGTAAACAACCACTTGGAACAGAGAAACCAAATAATATATCAGCAATTGCATCACCACTTTGTCCAAAATATGACATCCATAATAATGCTGCTTGATTTTTATTAACAAAAAATGGTTCTGATATAGGTGAACCAGATATAATTAATATAGCAAATGGTTTATTTAATCCTATTATTAATTTAATTAATTCTAATTGTCCACCAGGTAATTCTAATGTATTACGATCAGTATCTTCTTCTTCAAAACTTTCATCTAAACCACCAACAAATAAAATTATATCACTTTCAATAGATAATTCTATAGCATGTGGAAAATCTTCATCACTATTATTTCTTCGTGATGCACCCCATGTATAAACAACATTTACATTATATTTTAATGCAATTGATTTAATACCATCTAATGTTGTTATCCATTTACTTGGTGTACCATGATATGTATGTGCTTGAACAGTTATATCATTTGATGAAGGACCAATAACTGCAATTTGTTTTATTTTTGTTATATCAAATGGCAATATTTGTTTTGGATTTTGTAATAAAACAATTGATTCACTAACAATTTGTTTTGTTAATAATTTATGTTCTAAACTATCAACAATTGAATAAGGTATTGAAGAATATGGATCTGTACCAATTGGATCAAAATTACCACTTAAAAATCTTGAACGTAAACCTCGACTAATAGCTAAATTAATTGTATCAAAATTAACAAAACCATGTTTAATTGCTTGATGTAATAATTTAAATTCTCCACCACAATTAATATCATTACCAGATGATACAGATATAGCAACAGCTTGTTCTAATGTTGCTGTATAATGAAATGATTTTTGTATATCAGCTACAGGATCACAATCGCCTGAGGAAAAAAACAAGAGAAAAAAAAATGAAGTTCATTAAAAAAAAACAACTTTACTAATAACATAACCAGTAAAATTCCATTCATTACGTAATACATCATTTAATAGATATTTATTTGCTGCTGATGGTATACCATTTACTGCACTTATTGCACTCATTATACCAACAATTGCTTTTTCATCAATAAGTTTTTTCCATACAGGTAAATATGTTATTCTGATAATAATAATAACAAACAAATTATATAGTAGATAATTATTTACATATTTTTTTTTTCTACCTTAAATCAGCATCAGAAATAATTGCATTAAAACTAAATCTACCATTATCAGGACCATCATAATCAATAAAATGTCTTAAAAATAGAATAATGAGAATTAAAGTCCGTTTTTTCACGTAATTTTTTTGTTAAAGCTGAAAAGTCAATAAACTTCATAAGTACTTTGTTATTGTTATTACGAATCTCATTTATAAAACATTTTTTCCTTAGTTGATAATGAAATGTAAGTATCTATTCCAACTATGAAAATGTTGAAAAAAGAGCGAAGCTTTTACAAAATACATTTAGAATATTATATTCACAAATATACAATTTTTTTCAGTAATTCTATATGTAAAATAATTATTTTTAATAATATATTTACAAAAATTTTACCTTATAACAGGTATAACTTTATAAATTCCATATTCTAATTGTGTATCTTCTAATTTTGCATAACCCATAATACCTTTATTAAAAGCTACTGCTATTTCACCAGTTAATATTGGACATTCACCTTATAATAGGAGAAAATGTTAAATTTCAATAAGATTTCATGTGGATAAAGTTAACACCAGGTTCGAGTTTTTACCGTCCGGATTCGTTCGTGTACTCGAGTTATATTTCGTTCAACTTGAGTTAGATGCAGAATTTTACGGCAAATCCGATGGTGTAAAGATCAAGGGGAGTCATCCAGCAAAAACTAGCACTTGATCCCAAAATACTGAATTTTTCAAAATTTTTTGAAAAGTATTTGCTGTC